AACTCCCTACTTTCACTTAACTATAAGCAGGAGAAGAAGGTACAATACAAACAGACTTGAAAGATTTTGTTATTACTGCTTATTTCAATAATAGTCATTGTAGCCTTCCTATGCAGTTAATACAGTGGTGGGATTCTACTGGTTATACCCAGTTCGGGCAAACTGGTAGCGGTGGCAGCGGGAGGCTCCGCCCACCCACCCGGACACCATCATGGATGCTCTGCGCATGCAGAGAGGTGGCACGCGCGCTCACATTTGCGAACCGGTAGTGAAGGTAAGTGAATACCGCTACTGAATTGATATCTTGGTCTGGTCTACTTAATAGGATTGATTTATCCCGCTGAGATGATAAAAGATCATAATCAGTGAATAAGTATTCAGCATGTTTGAGAATATTAGACAAATGTGTATGAAATTATTGTATTGTATTATTGTATTGTATTGTATAGGATTCCCCCCCCCCAGTCCTTCTTTTCTCTAGACTAAAATAAAGGTTCCCCTCGCACATATGTACTAGTCGTTTCCAGTTCTAGGGGGCTGTGCTCATCTCCATTTCAAAGCCGAAGAGCCTGCGCTATCCGACGACATCTCCTTGGTCATGTGGCTGGCATGACTAAATGCCAAGGCGCAGAGAATGCTGTTACCTTCCCACCAAAGGTGGTTCCTATTTTTCTACTTGCATTTTTACCTGCTTTCGAACTGCTAGCTTGGCAGAAGGTGGGACAAGAAACGGGAGCTCACTCCGTTACGTGGTGCTAGGGGTTCGAACCACCAAACTGCTGACCTTTCTGATCGACAAGCTCAGCATCTTAGCCACTGAGCCACTGTGTCTCTAGTTCTCTAGACTAGCCAAACCCAAATCCTGCAACTCTTCTTCATATGTTTTAGTCTCCAGGCCTTTAATCATTTTAGTTGCTCTCCTTCGCACTTTTTCCAAAGTCTCAACATCTTGAGACTTTGGTCAACCACATTTTGTAATGTGGTGACCAAAACTGGATGCAGTATTCCAGGTGTGGTCTTACTATGGCTTTATAAAGTGGTACTAATATTATGTCTATGACTTTTGTTTATACAATCCAGGATTATATTAGCTTTTTTGGCTGCTGCCACACACTGCTCACTCATGTTTAAGTGATCGTCCACTAAGGCTCCAATGAGGATCTAAACTAAAATATGAATTAAGAGAGGGCAAGTTATTCTTAACTCATTGGTTTTTGTGATTCTAAATATTCTGAATTATTGTTATTCTAAATTATTCTGGCGTGGGTCTAACTGCCGCTTATAAACTTTCCTATAGAGTTTTCCTATAGTTTTTCTCGCTCTTAATATTTAAAATGCACAGAAGTCTTTCTTTTGGATTATAATGGGAATCAGAATTGAATAAATTATGAAGTAATGTCTGGATCCCAGATCTTGCCACATGAATGTTCTCTATCTATTGACCCAAGTTGCTACAATGATAACCTCCTGGAGTTGCTGGGCACAGCCATATAAAATAAATTCAGATAAATAAATGGCCCAGCCAGATGCACAAAAGGCTTAGATTGCAGTTTACAATCTGTTCATGAATAAATGTTTTCTAGCGTGAATTACATATTGTTTATTGACAAGGAACAAGCAGCTGTATAAATGCAAGAAGAGCAAGCATCTTGAAAAGAACAGAATTGTTTGAAAAATATTTCCCAAATGCCTCAGGTAAGTATTTCATCTTAATATTTTTTTTAAAAAAAATAAATCTCAAGCACACTAAAGATTATTTTTTGATTTTGAAAATAATCACAAGGAATACATATAATCGTTTGGACAACAACTGTGTTACATTAAAGACAGGGGTCTAAAATCTAAAGCAAGCCAGGATTTTTTATTATTGTTATTTTATTTTAATCTTTTTAAAAGATTGCTAAAAAAAAAAAAAGCTTGAGGAGTGACTGTGGTAGTTTATAAAGATGAGCTTTCCTAAAGCAAGATTTATGGTCATTAAAACCAAACTGCTTATATTCATAAAGTGTTTTACTTAATTACTGCCATATGATTCCTTAAAATGATTCAAAATTAGATCGTTCTCCAGATTCCCAGGTAACTTTCATTACCAGTCAATTAATATTAAGTAATATAACATTAATTAAATACGCTGAAGATTGGTTTTGCTCCTCTCATGCAAAAGTAAATTTCTAATTCAGCCCAATGGAAAAAGGGGGTGGAATCCTGCATGGCTATTAATTTCCTTCCTTTTCCTTCCATTCTTTATCTATGATATAAACTAATAAACTGCTTATTGGTTTTTTTTTCCCCCTAAAAGGAGTCTTAATCTCTGAAATAATAATAAGGTCTATTGAAATTGTCAATAGATGAAAATGCAGACACATGATAATATTTTAAGAATAATTTATTTACCCAATTTATTTTTCTGTGCGTCCTTGTAAGGCTTAAACGAGATTATGGTTGCTGCAAGTTCAATATGCACACTGAATGCAGCTCTGTAATCATGCGATTCAATTCTAAGCCCGATTTTTCCTGCCTCTACACAGTTAAGCATTAAAATTTTAGCAGGAATTAAAGTAAATAATGTCAAAAAGGTTACAATCTAGCAGCTCAAACCTATGCATGCTTACAAAGGAGTAGATCCGCCTAGTTCAAAAGGATTTCCTTCCCCAAATGAAAATGCTCAGGCCATCACAGCTCTAAATATATATATATATATTTTTCCCAGTCAGCCATATGATCAAAGATGATTTTTCAGAGTGTTAATTTAAACCTTCCTGATCTGAAGTGGAAAAGCCGAAATCCACATCCCTGCAGATCAGCAACCCAACTGAGCAATTCTGAATTTATAACTTTTGAGGCGGATTTCATAAATTGGAGGCTGGAAGAGAGCTACAATAAGCATTCTTATTCCCAGTCGCATAATTTCTGATCGTCTCCCAGATATGAACATTTCAAAAGCTGTCATCACGGGAGCCTTTTCAACTTGTAGACAAATCTCTTCGGTGTCATGGAAACCCTATGATGACTACCAACCCATGCTCCAATCCTACCCTCCCACCCCTACCCCAAAGACCTGGATACAATTCCTGGCAGTCCCTTTTCGAGACCGACATCCACATTTCCACATTTCCACATCTCATTGGGCCCCTTAATGAAAACCCATGAGTTTCCAACAAAAACCCACAAACATTTCCCCAGGGCCCTCTTCTTCCACTCCACCAAGCCTTCCCACAATGGCACGAGTGACATTCCCCCTTCTCCCCACTCACCCACCCACCCACTCCCTCTTTTCTGAGCCTTCAAACAGCGCCCCTGGCGGATGCATCCAAGAATCACACACACACACACACACACCCGACTCTTCTGGAATTGCAACGGGAATGGCAAGGAACTCCGAAAAGATTGGCAAGCTTCCACGCGCCTTTCCCAGCCCTTCGTCCTGCTCCAGGGTGACCACGCTTCATCCCGAAGATGGGATGATGATGAAGAAGAAGGGGCGAGGCTAGATAAACCCGAGTCTCCTGTCAATGGATGATGATGATGATGATGATGATGATGATGATTGATGATAATAATAATAATAATAATAATAATAATAATAATAATAATATAATAATAATAATAATAATAATAATAATAATATACCCCCGGGATCATCAGGGTCGCAAGAAGCAAGTTGCAACTCACGGGCCAGGCCGGCTTACTCACTCGTAGAAGCGAGAACGCCAGTCGCTCAAACCCCCGCCCGCTGCTGAGACGGTGCAACCCCAGGCCCCGCGGTTGCCAAGGGGTGCGCGGCTGTCGGTCTGGCTGTCGGTCCGCGTGCGTTGGGTGGCAAGCGAGATGGGTTTCACACGCACACCTTCCAAAGCCCCCTTTGCAAGCCACATGCACCCCCCCCCAGCCCCGAACACAAACGAAAGATAGATCCAGCCAGGCTCAAGGCATCTCGGAACCTCGTCCGATGTAAGGGAGGGAGGGAGGGTGGGTGGCCGGGCGGGCCTTGGACCCCCCCCCCACCTTCGGACCCAGCCGGCCGCTGTTGCTGCTGCAGCCCAGACTTATTGGCCGCAAAGTTTCGCTGCAGCCGCAACCCAAGGAGAAGAAACAAGGATGAGAAAAAGAAGGGAGGAGGGAGAGAGAGAGAGAGAGAGAAAGAGAGAGAGGCAGGTTTAGGCTCGGTTCTCCGAACGAAGCAATCCCGATCCCCAATTGCCCCTGCAAGAGAACCGGGCGCTTTGCAAAGATTTCTGCCCAGCAGGGTAACAGAAGGCGGCAGCCCCGCCATCGAGGCTTGGAGTCAACTCCCGCATCCCTCGGTACCGGGGTCCATTTCACAAGCACCCTGCGCTGGCAAGAAAAGTAGAGCTCGGCTGACTTACGACCCCGCAAAGTTGGGGAGGGGGGGAAGATGGGAGCTCTTCCTTCCACCACCACCCCTCCACCCCCTCCACCCCCCCGGCCTCAGCCGAGGCTCCGGGGTCCCAGCCAGGTTTTGGCCGATCTCGAGGACTCACCGTCGGCTGGCTACTACTTCGGCGCGCCCCCCCCCCCACCACCACCTCGGTAACGCGTTCGCTCCGGCCGAGAGACAAGGCAGCGCCAGCCTAGTTTCTAACCCCTCGCCGCCCTCCCGAAGCATCTTCCTTCCTTCCCCTCCGCTTTGGCCTCCTGACCAATAAATAAATAAATAAATAAATAAATAAATAAATAAAAATTAATCCCATTTTCTTTGGAAAAGAAGCAATGAAGGTGCTCCCCTCCCTCTCTCCGGCCAATATTTCTTTCTGATCTGGTTTACAGCAGGTTTAAAAAAAAAGAAAGAAAGAAAGAAAGAAAACCCTTTCTGAGCAGTGCATTTTCTCTTGATAAAGAAAACAAAAATCAGCAACCCCACAAAACAAAAACAAGAGGATGGGGAGATTTGGGGGGGGGAAGCCTTTTGGTTAATTGAGAAAAGAGGGAGGAAAGAAGGAGGGAGGGAGAGAGAGAGAGAAAGGAGCGAAAGTATTTACCAATTCACAAAGGCTGCCTTTTTTTCCCCCTTTTTTCTTTTTTAACGCAAAGTCCATCGCTCAAAAGCGTGAATTCATCGGATCCCAAAGCGTTATTTATCCACCTTTTAAAAAGGAAAGATGCAGCCGCGAGGCGGGTTCTTAAAAATTTATCCCCCTGGACGCTTCCAAATCGTTGCGATTCATCTCATTCCTGCCCCCCTTCTTGTCCTCTTCCCAAGACTGCGAATTTTTTTTTTTTTAAAAAAAGGGGGCGAAAACCCCACTATCCCATCCGGAATTCATCGGCATCGAGCTTCTTGAACCAAGCCGCCGCCGCCGCCGTCGCCACCTCCATTTAAATCCACCATCAGGCAAGGAGGACCCTAGAGGGAAAAAAAAGGATCAAACGCGACTTCTTTTCGGATGCCACCCAGATAATCCGACTAAATCCAATAGATTTTTTTTTGTTGCCTCGAATCTGAAATTGCCCTCTAAATGGAAGTCCCTTCCTTCGCTTGAGGTCCAGTGGGGTGATTTTCGCACCACACGCCGCGTCAGAAGAATTTTCTCTCTGTGTGTGGGTAGTTTAATCTCGCTCTCTCTTTCTCCTTCGCTCTCTCTCTCCTGGATGCATAGTGCTCGCTATAAAAAAAGGAAAAGAGAGAGAAAGAAGACCGAGAACGTTGCTTTGCCTCTATTACAGTTTTCAACTCCAAATTGCTGCTGGATGAAAAATGGTACAAAGGTACCCCTAGTGGCCAAAGAGGGGAATAACGTGAGCTTTCATTCCGCTTGTTTCCCTTCCTCCCTCGCTTTTCTTCCTTCCCCTTTTTGCAAGACAAACTCATCTGTTTAGAGCGTTTACTGTAAGGAGCCTATTCTGCCTTCTTAATTAGCTCTGTATCTAGATGCAAGAATACATTCTGGTGCCATCCAACATTAAAGGAAGGAGAATTTGAAATGTCCTCCTTTGCTACTCGGCGAGCACCAAGGTTCAACACTGAGCTTTTCTACCGATCGCAGGTCAGACAAATCCCATTTTACAGTTGAAGGCAAGGACTTCTACTAAATCAGCCTCTGAATATAATCCTCAGCTTACAATTTTCATTTAGTGTCTGTTCAAGGGTGCTGGAAAAAAAAAAGAGGCTTACAATTGGTTCTCACACCTTTCAACTGTTGCAGCATCCCCCTGGTCACATGATCAAAATTCAGGCATTTGACAATGTTAGGAAATGATAATTACCTAACTTGTTGGGTTGGCAATATATAAAACCTCAATATAGCTTTAAGACTGTATTGCTGTATTGCATCATACTGTGTCCTGATTGGTTAGCTCTATAGCCAATCTCCTTAAGAGAGAGCTTGAAACATGGTTTGTTTCTCTTTGCTGATCATTATTGCTCTTTGCTGTGTTTGCTACTGTTTGCAACTGTTTATTGGGTATGACTACGACAACTGGTAAGAAGACTTTATTATTGGATATCCCTGGACTATTGTTTTACTATCTACTGCTTTATCTGTGTATGACCTGGACTGTTTATTGGACTGTGCCTTATTACCATTTCCTAAAAGTAAACACAACTCAGTGTATCTGTGTGTTGGCTGTGGTTATTCGCAACTGCTCTCAATCGCTTTCATGTGCACACCCTTGCTACTCAATGGGTTGCTCTGCAAATTCCTCAACAGACAACGGGCATGTCCTTATAATGATCCTGGCATCATGTGAACACCATATGCAGCCTTCCTTGCCAGCTTCCAACAAGCAAAGCTAATGGGGGGGAAGCTGGATTAGGGTTCACTGTGTGACTCACTTAACAACCAGGGCAAAAAAAAAAGGTCATAAAATAATGTGTGACTCATTTAACAACTGCCTTGCTTAGCAATGGAAACAATGGCCCCAATTGTGGTCTTAAGTCAAGAGCTACCTGTACCCTGTAATCCCTGTTCCTATGATACTGACCATGACTTCTCCCCAGCCTATGATTTGAATGGTCCTATCTCAACTATTCTGTATTCTGAAGCATATCTAACCTTTTCCCCTGTGAACATTTCACATTCTTCCTCTCCCTTTTCAAGGGCAGATATACTAAAGTGACCAGACCAATCTTGATCATCACTAAGTAAATTTTAGTACCTAGATAATATCCATATGTAGAGGTAGAGTCACTAAGTACATTCCAACAGAGGAGAATATATATGTAGCTCGGGGTTGAACTGTGGAATCCTTGGTGTTCTCTGAGCTTGTTTGTTCTCTTGCAGATGTTCCATTTCCCAACTAGGTAGCATCATCGCTGATGTTGTTAACACCATGTTGTTGTCAGCAGTGATGATGTTACCTACTTGGGTAATGAAACATCTGCACATGAACAACTAAGCTCAGAGAGCACCAAGGACACCACAGGAAATACACTGCCTATTTTCAGTCAGTTAGCACCCTCAAAATATTTACCTGTCCACCCAGGTGGACAAGCCATCTAAGATCACTGCCACAGCTAGGATGATCTCAAAATCTGCTAGTCATTATGTAAAAAAATAGTAATACATTATTGCTTTATCATCACTAAATCAAAGCCTGAATCTCTAAACAGGCCTAACTGAAATCAGAAGCTCCTAGACTCCGTTTATAGATAGAGCAGGATTTTTCTTCTTCTTGTGATTTTTTTTTTTAAATTTGTTTTCAAAATGAACATGCCTTTCAGCATGGATCCCTTTTCTCCCGGTAAGTTTTACAGTGCTATGGCCCAGCAAGGGGAAAAATGCACCAGTTCAGACTGCTGAACACATAAAAATGCACAACGGGCCCCATAAGCAAATGTTGCAGCCGGAAGCATCCATCAGAGGTCAAAAAGGAGCAAAGGATGGAAACAGCATTGTGTGTCATGATGCAAGCACCACTCCTTCTGTAAGTAGGTTGTGATTGAGAAGGAAAAAACTTGGGTTGCTTTCTTCATTTTGACAAATGCCTCTGAGGCTGCAGAAGTCTCTACTTGCAATATATTCTCTTTCCTAAAAGGAATTTTGTGCTCAGTACAATCTTCTTTACAGAAATTATGGGCTGCAGGCATGTGGATCTTAACCGGATGGTTTATCCACGTACAGTTTTGTTTCTATCCTGACACTCATCACCTACATCGGTGTCCTATCTTGGATTCTCTCAATTCCTAGGTGAATCACTCTCAACGAAGTGATAAGATCAGTCAGGAATTGCATATTTCAAGAGAATCCACAAAGATAATTGTTCTTAGAAGATAGATAGATATCATGTTTTCCCCAAAATAAGACTCGGTCTTATATTAATTTTTGTGCCAAAAGATGCATTATGGCTTATTTTCTGGTTAGGTCTTATTTTGGGAAAAAATAGAGTACTAAACACCCCTGTCTGCTGATGATCTTAACTGGGGCTCATTTTGGGGGTAGGGCTTAAATTACGAACATCCTGAAAAATCATGCTAGGGCTTATTTTCCGGTGGGGTCTTATTTTTGAGGAAACAGGGTAGATAGGTAGGTAGGTAGGTAGGTAGGTAGGTAGGTAGGTAGGTAGGTAGGTAGATAGATAGATAGATAGATAGATAGATAGATAGAATTACAAAATACATTATATATACTTCATATACTGTGTATATGAAGGCAAAATTGAAGTACTGAAAGAGATAGGAATTGTGACTGGAGACTTCTAAATATTGAAGTGGGATATGGAATATGGCAGCTCTAGAAAATATTGATGGTGATGAATAGTAAGATGGAAACAAAGGAAAAATCCATGAAATGCCAAACTTTTTCCAACTGCCTCTCTAATGAAACTCATTGATGACAAAGAGTTGGAGATATAATAATCTGCCAGAGAAAACAGTGAAAACCTGGCAGCTTTTACATTGGCTAGATTTATATTTCCAGCGGGGCTTTTTAAGATGCTGGCTAGAGATAACAGCAGAAACATATTTTAATCAATGTGTGCAATTAATTTGTTTGGTTGGTTTATACAGCTGCCCATCGCACCAATTACCAGTTCATGTATGTTGTGTTTTCTTTACTTTAAATTCTATATATTCTGGTTAAGAGTAGACTCATTGAAACCATCAAGATTTCAATTCAGCATGTCTACCTTAAGTTCCATGGATGGCAAAGAGTCTCTTCTAAGCATAATTAAACCTAATTTAAAAATTGATTTGAAATAATCTAACAAAGAAAAGAAAGGGGAAAAAAACTTTTCAGGCACATAGAGATAAAAAAATCATCTACATGCCATTCAAAAGAAACAACCAGAGCAGTGGTGGGTTCCTCCCGGTCTGGTCCGGTTCGGTCGAGCTGGTAGTGGTGATGATATGACATCACCGAACCAGTTCTCCCCCCCGCCCTCCCACCCCCCACCCCCACAAGTTATTCTTACCTTTTATTTGGTCCCACCCCCAATCTATTGCTGCCTCCTGAGTCCCAGCTGATGACTAGAGGGGAAAAAACTGTTTAAACTCTTGCCGCGGGGCTTCAAAAGGCCATCCTACAGCTGATCAGTGTTAAAAGCAAACAAATGAGTCGGGTCGTAAGTGCGAGGACTGGTCGTAAGTGCGAGGACCTTTCAGAAATGACTCTGACCAGCTAGCCACGCCCACCTAGTCACATGACCTCCAAGCCACACCCACAAACTAAGCCACGCCCACAGAACCAGTAGTAAAAAAATTTAGAACCCACCCCTGAACCAGAGAGATCAAAAGGAAACAAAAAGACTAAAAACTTATCAACATCAGAAATCAACATCCACATGAGCAGAGATTAACTTCAAGATTAACATTTGACCAACAATCAAGAAGTAAGCAACACCCCAATCAAGGAATTACCAACACAGACAAACAAGCTACAGTAACAGATTAACAGATAGTTGGAAGGGACCTTGTAGATCATCTAGTCCAACCCCCTGCCCAAGCAGAAGACCCTACATCTGTCTCTACCTAGGATCAAACTCACAACCTCCTGATTGTGTGGCAAAAACTCCATCTCCTGGCCACAGCAGCTGGGTTTGTAAACAACAGGCAAATCAAGGTTTAGAACACCAAGAACATTCGTGCCAACTCTGACAAGGCAAGCCACAAGTATACAAAAATAAGAGCAAACCCCACTCCATTCTAGTACTGATGAAGTTACCTAGTTGGGTAATGAAACATCTGCAAGAAAAACACTAATTTCATAGAGCACCAAGGACCCCACAAAACTTTCGGGTTATGAATAGAAGAGCCCCAGTGGATCATGCCATCCTTCGCTTTTTAACACCAAACTAGATTCTTTAGACATTCTCCCTACAAAATTAAAACCTTTCTGAGATTTGCTTCAAATATCTAACATTCAAAAATATACTGTCTCCAATCATGAATGTTATTTCCAGCAACCTGATAGATTTATCCACTATTTGACATATCTATGAATTTGTCTATCCATTTCCAAAAGCTATCTTCCTCATAGAACCAATGGTATGATAAAAAGTAAATATTCAATATCTTTTTCCTACTGCTCATATATATCACACTCATTCAACAGGAGTCTCCTTTTCCTGATTACACAATGTAAGTTACATATTTTTTTCCCGATGTGACAAAACAGTGTCAGCTTCAAAATACTCATGTTCAGCAAGGCATCCCAAATGCATTCACAAG